AGCATAATATGCCAGACTAAGTTATGAGGTCCTTTTGTCTCTCTTTCATTTTCTTCCTGTCAATACATAGGGTTTACATGTTATTATATGTTCATTGTGATTGCAATGTACAGGCATACCACCGAGAGTTACTGGAGCACATGCCTCCTCCACGTCCGCCTAGGGCTATTATTCGTCTTCCGCTACCTTTGCCTCAGAGTACCACATCTTTAAAGACTCCAACCAGGAAGAAGATTTCTCTAAAGCGTGGAAGAGGAGATAAGAAGCGCCATCGTAAGGTTGTTGGTGGTAGTAGAGACAGCAAGTCATTCTAATTGTTCCTTTTTCCCCTTAATAACTTTTTGACTATAGGAAAATGTAATCTCCCTCCCCCTTTGTCACAAATTATACATCACGGGGTAGGAAGATTTGGTTAGATCTGTGCAGGATAGGAAACGACAGATAAAGCTCTAATTTTTGTTTGAGAATTGTTGATATCTATTCAATTGTTTTTTACGAGCACTTTTATCCAAAGTCTGCTGTCGTGCAAATTTCTGCCATGTTCCTCTTGCCTCTTGCTTGCTTTACAAATCAGTGACACATAAGTATTGTTTGATGTCCCAATCCAGAATCCGTTTCTCAAAATAACCAATAGTATATTGTAATTTGCAATAATCCCACTTTTCAAAAATTTGTTCACAACTTAAATTGAAAACAAAGAAAGCAAAGAAATAGAAAGATGATCCAATTCTGCAGTTTGAGGCCTTAATGGGAAAGGCAACCTTGATGCTGTGAAAGATAAAACATACCAGGGAAGCAATAGATATTCACAATTCTGCAGAAAAAAGAAAAAGAAAAGAGCTTTTAGCTATGGAAGCACATGCACTAGGAAGTTTGGAACTTGTGTGAAACGGGGATAGCATTGGTTTACTATTTCCGGCCAATCATGGCATGCCACGTGTGATAACTTTTCCATGTGGTAGTTTGTGATTGGTTGGTGATAGCAAAACAGTGTTATCCCCATTTCACACAAGTTTTTCGGGAGGAGGAGGCTTGCTTTTGCAAGAATTGATGCTTTGATTTGATTAGGGCATTGGTCAAGACAGAGCTGCAATCATGTAGGATGGACGGTGGGCCTCTTCATCTCCATGTGATCCCATACTGGCCATTAGTTGGCGGTGTCTTGGCAAGTGTGCCATGTTCCCTGAGCAATTTGAGGGATTGATCAAAGCACAACATAAGCCAATGTCCAAAGATTTAGGGTTTGGCCACTTCGTAATAAAAAGCCTTTAATGAAAGAATAGCCATTTCCACAGCTGTAGCCTGCAAGTGAGGTCTCATAATGACTTGTTCTTCTATGTAAATCTCAATTTATAAGATAGAGCAAAGTTGTGGTCATTGGGTTGGTGTAGAGAACAAATACAAAGTAATAGCTGTATTGCTTTACAGCCATCCATTTCAAAACATTTGCCATTTTTAATCAATAAACTTACTTGATCAAGTTACGTATTTATATGCAGCTGCAGAAGATTCTGTCAGCACCAACTGACAGTGTGAGGTGGGTTTTCTAAATTCTAAGTGAAAAGAAGGTGTTAGCTTGAAAGGATTCTAACTTGGAGTTGAACTCCTTCCCTTTTAGTTTAGGCTTTTACTAGATTCTGCTCTGACTGAATTTGAAGAAAGTAACATGGATGCAATGTTCATTTTCTCAATGTATGAAAATTTCAACCCTTTAATGGGTTGAAAAAAGCAAAATAAAAAAGCACAAAAACAAAAAAGAAGGGAGAGTTGGTGCACTTGAGCTACCTTTTCAATATGGTAGAGATTTATTATACAACCGATAATTTACTCTAAATTGATCTAATCTATGAGAAATGAGTTTCAAACTTTAGTGTAAGGGGCAGACACACCATCCTGGCCTAACCCACGTCGGCAATATGGTTGGGATTTTAAGAATCCTCCAATCTACCCAAAAAGTAGTGAACCATCAAAGAATGAGTCATGGGAGGCCCTCAACATCAATTCAAGACATGAAAGCACTTTTCTTTAGGAAACTTGTTAAAGATATAGGGATTTTCTTTTTAAAACTTTCTCTAGCTACAAAGAAGTCGATAAGTTAATCAAATTCAACACCAATGATTAATTTTAATGACTTTACTTCAAACTGTTTTTTTTTTGGGTCTGATTACTTCAAACTGGTTGATAGATATCAAACAAATGGTGGCCCAATACAATTCCAAAAACAACATTTTGATTTAAAATAGACCAAAAAAAATCATGTCGACCCATTGGTTCCATGACCCCACAAATGTTCAATTGCTTGTAGGAAGGAAGGAAGTAACCAGAAAAGTAAGGCATTTTTTTTGCATGAGGTGTAGGTTTTTGTAGGCCATTTATAGAATCTTTAAATATCTACAAACTACAGCTAATCAAATGGAATTCACACAAATAGAAAAATCCCTCCACTGACAATAAGCGTGTTGTAGTTGCTGGAATTACTCTCTCATCAAAGCCAATTCCCAAAGATGCATTCCTTCTTCCTCTACCTTTACCAAAAACCCCTCCATCAGTTTCATTTCCTTTCAGAACCCCAAGGTTTTGTTTGATGTGGAAAACATTGAAAACTAAGGTTAGGGTTTATTTGGGTTTCCTTGTTTAAGGTTTGATTCTTGGTTTTAAGGGTTTTCTTGTGGAGACAATCTTGAATCTTGATCATTGGGGCCATCTGGGTTTATTGAGTTTTAGAGTGGAAGCTAAGTTAAGGTTGGCTTCTGGTCAATTTACTTGCTCTGGTTTCTGGGATCTCCAAAATGAAAGTTTAGGGTTTAGGGTTTTTGATGAATATGTGATTTTTATCTTTTCTGTGTTGTAACATACATTACAGGGTTCAAGAGATTATTGGAAACTGGTTTTGTATGCTTTCTGTCATAAGATTATTGGAAATCAGGGTTCAAGAGATTTCTGTTGAGCAATTTTGGTTGAATAGAATTGAATTGAATGCAAGCTTATTTGTATAGAGAAGAAAGATAAGGGTTTTGCCTGGGGTTTTAAGCAATGGGGTTATCTGGGTTTTTTCTAATTTGTATGCTCCACTCTGTTATTGCTCTGATTTCTGGAGCTTTGATGATGTTTTACTCCTATGAATTTTATGTGTTCAGCCATGGCCATGAGACAGCAAGTAAGCTCCAAGGGTCAACACCCCATGATCAGCTTTTAATTCAAACCGCGGATTCCTTATCCGGCTTGCTTCTGTTTTCCGTTGGATCCCTTTTGTTCATGGTGGCTTTTGTCAAGGACAACAAGTTCCAGAGCTTCTTTGCTAAAGGTTGTGTATTGCTTCACATTTCCATGGCTATTTGGAGAGTTTACTTTGAGAGGAAACTTGAAGATCTTGCCTGTGATTGGCCAAAGCAGGTTGCCGGAGACATCACACTGGCGCTTTCTTGGGGTTTTCTTCTTGTGTACTCATGGAGGGAGAAGTATGATTAGCAAAGAATTGATGTTACTTTGCTACAAAAATCAGTGGATTTCTGCTTATGGAGGAACACATTGTTGGATGGAATAGTGTGCTTTGGTTCCTCTGCTTCTTGGTCATGTTATGTGGAAATTGCAAGGTGGAGGCTCTTGCTTTGTGCATAAGATTGCAGAGTAAAAAAAAAACAAAGATTTAAGATTTCATTGCTTAGTTTAGTGCTTAAACCTTGTTAATCTTGAACATTCTCTACAAACCGTTTTCCATTTGCAATTTTGCACATTCTGTTGGCCCCATGTTACCAGTGAGCTTGTAAATTTCTTCCCATCATATGATGAATAAAAATTTGGCAAATGTATTTAGCTAAATTTCACTTGATTAATTTTTCGTGGCTCACATTCTGAACATTAAACTCATTGTTTTGAAGCATGAATTTGTATCTTATGGCTAATATAATCTTCACATTATGGCTGGTGCTTGTTTGTAGTTAGTTAAAGTTACCCTAATTTGTTCTGTTTGTTGTCAATATTGACATGCGTTTTTACAGTAAAAATCTTTCTTACTGGCCCTGTCTGTCAAGGGATTTTCTTCCAAACTACTTGCAGGGTTAGACTTTTCATTCTTTAGATTGTTTGACCTTGGTAGTTTTAAACATAAATAGTTAAGCCTATAATTTCTTGATGATGTTAAGTTGGTCCAAATTACAGTTTACAGAGCCCATGGCCTAGGAGTTGTGAGCTACAAGGCAACGAGTCAGCTAAACTTAATAATATCTCTTACTGGGCAGAAAAACTTACTTGTAATGGGGATAACAAAACAGTGCTATCTCCAACTAATAATATAATGATACATAGAAAAGTTATTTCATGTGTCATTGCGTTATTGACAAGGATAGCAAAAAGTGTTATTCCCGTTGCATGAAAGTCTTTCTCTTTAATGGGGGATAAAACATAAGAGCAAATGAGGTAATTGACAATGAGGAAAAAGAGAGGGAGAATTAGAATTGTACTATATATTAGTACATTTGGGTAATTTGAAAAAAAAAACAGTAGTAGTTCGGTTAATGATTATTTGGTCTAGCGATTTTTTTTTTGCAAATTTGGTTGTGTTGTTGAAAAAGAAAAAAAGTAGTTGGAAAAAAAAAATAAAACAAAGAGAAGAGCACACTTGCATGACCCAAAATAATCTATCTACCGTCTTTAATTTTGTCATTGTAATTATAAAAATGAAATATTTGTCCGGACCAACTAACCTAATTCACATTTGCGAACAAAATTTAGGCCAAAAGTTGGGGGCAAGTGTTCAAATCACCCAAATGTTTATTATTCTTCCTCAAAAGCAAAAATAAAAAATAAAAAATCACCCAAGTTTTCAGCGTTTTATTTTCTAGGCCCATTGACTCATACGCGGCCCAATTTTAGCCTTGAAAATTTGAGCGGCCACTTTCGTATTCCAGAGAACATTACAGCTTTTGAGAGCTCCCACTTTCTGTCTTCCACAAAACACGAGCGTTTGAGTTCTAGAGCTTCTCCTTGTTATTTTCAGCGGTATGTTATTCTTTTCCTTCCTCTTACATTTCTACGACTACTTTCCTTAGCCTTCTGAGCATATTCCTATCATCATCCTCTTTATCCGTACGTTGTTGTTATTCTTTTTTGTTCAGAAAAAAGACAATAGATTATAGATTTACTTCCATAATCTCGTGGGTATGGCTGTTTTCTTGTTTGATTAAATGGGGTTGCTTTACTTTTCTTTTGGGTTTTCTGTTTTGCCTTTGTGTTGTTAGTTTCTACTGCTTTTAATAAATATTTGATGTCTGGGAGTGGCTTGTAAGCAAACGCCCACCATATGCTCGAAGAAAAACCCGAACGGATGTTGGCCAAAGGATATGTCTTGATTGAAATCCAGAACTAGTTTCAATTCCTCATCTCGGGTTCTCTGTTTTTGAGTTCCTTCTGTGGATTAGAGCCAGTTTGGAGAAGTATCGACTTCAAAAAATAAGGAGAGAACAAGATTTCCTTTTGAAGCTGAAATGCTCTAGTAAATATTCCCCTGGTTATTACTTTTAGAAATTGGCTGAATAGCTTTAATATTGAAATTGGGTAAACGTTGTTATGATATGCAGGGTTAGTCGTTTCGGCTTATTTGGTTTCCTAATGTCTCAGTTTTAATGGTAATTGATTTCATGTATTTAGTAGAGGTGTGGATTAGTAGATCTGAAACTGATTGCTTGCTTAAATAAATGGTTTTGTTCTTTATGATTGTTGCCTCTCTTTTACTTGAGCTAGTGACTGATTAGGCAAATCATTAGACAAACAAGTTTAATGCTTCTTTTGTGTATATATTAAGACAACATATCTCTCTCTTTCATTCTCTCTGTTTGGTTACAATATATTCATATGCAACATCCTTAATGAATACTTGTTTATCACAAAGACTATGCCCTGCATTGAATTTGATGATCTTCATCATCTTTCTATTAGGTACTATATTTTTTCGTCAAAGACTTTGAGAAATGGGTGGAATGCCGACAGAAAATACTTCGTCTGCCTTAGCTTTCCCAGGGTCGCAGCCAAATCAAGGATCAGCGGTCACTACTGCACCTAGCCTGGATACAAAGCCGAAGAAGAAGATCTGCTGTGCTTGCCCGGATACTAAGAAGCTGCGTGATGAATGCATTGTGGAGCATGGTCAAGATGCTTGCACAAAATGGATCGATGCTCATCTCAAGTGCCTTCGTGCAGAGGGCTTCAATGTTTGAGATTGCTAGAGATGGTTAAGATAATAAATTGAACATTAACCAGTTTTGAAAGAATACATTTGTTTTAGGTTTACAACATACAAGAAGATAATATCTGAAAGTTTGAAAATAATGCATGGAGAGCTTCTGTTTACCATTAGATGCAATCATTTTACTTGTATTTTCTTTTTTTGGTAGATTGCAGTCTTAAATTTATAAAGTGCAGTACACATTGGTTGATAAGTTACAGGATTGATCTCAGTATCTGCTTTTGTCTTGTCTAAGTGTAATTTGTTTTGTTAAAGGTTGTTTTCTTCCATGTGTTTTTTTGTTGTTGCTTTTTCTACAGTTTGATTCTTGAAGTGTTTTTCCCTTGAGGCCACCTGACTTGATTGACTTTCCTTTTTGTTACCTGCCTTATGTTGGTTACTTAGAATTGTCATTATGTTGATTACTGTTGGTTCAGAGTTGAACAAAGCTGATTAAAGGAGATGAAAATGTTCAGTCTGTAGCCTGCTGGTGATGTAACCAGTTGTTTTAAATTTCTCAGTTTTAAATATATCTCAATCCACTATTACAAGAGCTAAAATTGGTATGTGTTAAATTCTGTTGGAGTTATATATTTTAAGTTAATCTAATTTTAGATTTTTTTGGTCACATTGGGAGGAAAGAAATCCCTTGGGCCCCGTTTGGTTCATGGAACGGATTTGATGGGAAATCGTTTCCCAAGGGATGGGAAATTATGATTCATTTTCCATGTTTGGTAATGCCGGGAAAGTAACCTGGAAATATTACTTTATTTCCTTTCCCATGTTTGTTTTGAGTAGGAATGGAAAGCTAATTTTGTTTAGTTTCCCAATTTTACCCTAATTAAAAATATGTTTTGAATTAAAAAATAAAAAAGGGAATACCAATAGTTGTTGGATAAAACTGTAATTATAAATTATTAGTAAGGACAAATTAGTCAGAAAAAAGGTGCATTTAATGCTAGTCTTACTTTCCCATGAGAAGGGAAAGTAAAACCCAAGGAGGAAGGATTGCTTCACTTTCCCCCCTACTTTCCCATGAGCCAGGCAATGATTTCCCATGCCTGACTTACCAAACATGGGAAAGCAATTGATTTCCCATCCCAAAGTTTTCTTTCCCATGAACCAAACGGGGCCTTGGGGTTTCGAACCTGAGGTGTCAAATAGGGGGAAGGGAGAGGCCACCATTGTGGTGCCTGCTCTTGATGCAATTTAATTTTAGTTTAACCATGTTGAATTATGACCAACTCAAGTGACAGTAAATATAGATCTTAACTGACACTCGAGTTGCATTTTCATGTTGAATTATGACCAACTCAAGTGACAGTAAATATAAATCTTAACCTACACTCGAGTTGCATTTTCATTAAAATATAGTGGGGTGGGAGCTAAGAATAGAAGTATTTTTCATTAAAATATCCATAAAGTCCTTGACTTGATAATTTATTACCAGTACAGATTGAAGTGGAAAGACATTGCTGTCTGTTGACCGGCGTGCTTGAAATATTTTATAAAAAATTCGGTATAAGTCTAAAATCCAAAATAGAATTTGGATGCCATCCTCGTAATTATTGTTATTGTTGATACAAGTTCTTTGACTTTTGTGCCATGTACGATTACATTCCTTTTTTGATTTTTTGATATTTACATATTATTTTTTTCATTTTTAAATTACTTAGTTATTCCCATCATGCCCCTAAAAATTAAAGAAGGTAAGAAATTAATTTTTATGATAACAATTATGAGGCTTATTATCACAAAATGTCCCTCAGGTTTACGAAACTATCAAATTGCATCCTTAATGTTTTTTTGTGTCACTCGTGGTCCTCAAGGTTAGTATGTGTGATCACAAATGGTCCTTGTCGTTAGGTTCCGTTAAAAACTCCGTTAGTTTGCTGATGTGGCCTTGAGGTTCACACATCTATCACACATGGTCCCTGCGAAATTTTTTAATTTTTTAATTTAAAATTCATAAAATTTTGGTTTTCTTTTTTATATTATTTAAAAATATATATTGTATTTTAAATACATATGACAATATATTTTTGAAGATGTGGGCTCCACATATATGCCACACCAACAAACTAATGATGTTTTTTTTAAAATAATTTGAAATTCATAAGATTTAAAAATGAAAAAACCATTTATAGAAGGATTTTAACCTTGAGGACCATTTATAAACCCTAAACCCTTGGTTTTTTCATTTTTAAATTTTATGAAATTGAATTTTTTTTTTAAAAACTCAATTAGTTTGTTGATGTGGCATATATGTGGAGCCAACATCTAAAATAATATAGTGTCATGTGTATTTAAAATAATTTAAAATTCATAAGATTTAAAAAAGAAAACCAAATTTTTTTGAATTTTAAATGAAATAAATTAAAAAAAATTGCAGGGGCCATTTGTGATAGGTGCGTAAACCTCAAGGATGTTTTGTGATATATATATGCCACATCAGCAAACTAATAGAGTTTTTGACGGAACCTAACGACAGAAACCATTTGTGATCACACGTACTAACCTTAAGGACCACCAATGACAAAAAAAAAACATTAAAGATGCAATCTGATAGTTTCGTAAACCTTAGGGACCTTTTGTGATAATAAGCCTAATTATGATATTGTCTACCCTAAACCAATTCAGACTCTCTCTCAGCCACAATCTCTGTAACTTTCACCAACAAGTCAGTGGAGCCAAATTCTTTTCCCATTAAGCCCTCCAACTTCTCCAAGAAGTCAGCTATCATTTACCCTATGACTCTTCTATAATCGGCGAGTTTCATTCGAAACCAAAATCCTTGTTTGATTGATTTTCTAACTGGGTATTTATCAGGTTGCTTATTAGGTATGCAAAGCTGTGATTTGCTTACAAATCGCTGCAACAAGGTAAACGAAAACAAAAAAAAATTCTTTTTGCATAGTTTCTTGCGTGCGTTTTCAAATTCATATTGGGTCTTTGTGGTTGTAATTCTTTTGGGTTGAATGGCTTATAGGTCAGGGCTTCTATTCGATCCACAAAAAGTGATAAGGTTGAGTGGGATGTCTAAAAAGTCTTACACCAGATCCTACAATTCCATGTATGTTGGTTGTTTGTGATCTGTCTTTATTTACCTAGTATTTAGGTATATTGTCTTATATTTACCTAGTAAGTAGGTACATTATCTTATATTTATCTAATAATTAGGTATATTATTTTATATTTACCTAGTAATGAGGTACATTATCTTATATTTACATAGTAATTAGGTACATTATCTTATATTTACCTAATAATTAGGTATATTATCTCATATTTGCCTAGTAATCAAGTAAATATTTGTTGGGAAGACATCACCAATAATACTCCTACTTTCATTGTTTTATATGAACTTTTTTTATTTGTTCTTATGCTTGAAACCTCAGAAATCAACCTTATGGATACGTACAGTTTTATGTTGGTGCTTGCCTATAGGTCTTAATTTTCATTGTAAGATAAAATATGTGGGTCATTACTTGCATGACTTAAATTGTATTTTATCTATATATTAAGTAAATATTGCAATAGTTAATTGTTAAAGTATTTTACTTGACGAAACGTTTTTTTTATTATATACAAATGTGTCATGGCGGCAATAGAAGGAATCAAAATTTAAAATATGAAATCCATTTAGAAGGAAAGAATCGATACATTAATTTGGATTTTCAATTAATGTTCTTTTCTTATTTACCTCAAAGAGTAAAATTGACACAAGAAAAAAATTAATAAAAGTCAATGAACCCAAATCTACAACAAAAAAGGTGTGGACTAAATCCAATGATGGCTAGAAATTTTGGACTTAGATCGAAGAACCCCAATATTTTATAATGAAGTGGGATTTCCAGTTCTGCGTTTTGTTGTACAATTTTATTTCCAAACAAGATAATCTCAAGCATTCCAAGACATCATCTTTCTTTTGATGCTACTCCCAAGATACAAAAGGGTTTCAAATCCAGAATATATTGGACATATTCCATTATATTTTATGTAAAAAATCGTGTGCTTTTTGTTTCCCTGCATTTATTTTATAAATTGCAGTTACAGATATGTGGGTTATGTCAGTTGGTCAAAACAATGTATCTATGCTCTTGCATTCAAGTAATTGGTCCTCTTCCAGTACATTAAAGTAGTTTAATAATTAATGTTGATGCTCAAAATGGTTGGGCCAAGATTGAGTCCAACTTAGTGATGAGGTGTGATGGATGATGAGTGAAGGTTTGGACCTTCTGCGTGTATGTGAGGACTTAGCCAGTTTATGAATATACAAAAGACAAGATATATGTGGTTCACCCTTAATGAATGGGCTACGTCCACAGAGAAGATGTTCTCATTATGATATTGTTTACATTTGTACAAGGGGATTAGACCCAAAGATAAATGGAAGAAGGCCTAGGGTCTAAGGTACAAAGTTTGGAGTCTGGAGCCCAGGGGTCAAGTCCCCGGGTCTGGAGACCCAGGACTCGGAGGCCAGACTAATAGGAGAGTCCTGAAGAGGGAACCCAGCTCAGTTTCGGATCCTCTCTTAAGTGGAGAGTGGTATGCTTTTATAGGTGAGAGGGAGTCTTCACTTCTTGTAGATTTCCGATGTGGGACTCCTCTTGCTTTGCTTAGAGTTCCTTCTAGTCTTCTAGTTGCTTGGTCAGTTATGGTGTCAACAACCACTGTACTCATCACTATCTCCTTCCATTTCCTCAAATTTCCTCATATCCATAGTTTCAATTCACAAAAAACCAAAAATATGTAGGGCCTGTGAGCGAGAGGAGAAGTTGGTTCCTTGTAAGGGTGTGGGAGTAAATGACGATCTTGGTTCCTTATATAATAAACCCTGAAATAGAATCTAGTTTCTTTCGTAGAATTCCTGTCATCAAATATTCCGTCCCCCAAGTCCTCACGCAAGCATTCCTTTCCTTCGCCCGATTTCGCAGCAAGTGCCAAAACTTGAGTACTAGAACTTAATTCCTTTATCAATATTCCATTAACCATTTTAAGCAATTCTCCCTGTAACTTTTCACTAATTGTAGTTCCGAAGAAATAGCACATATACATAATATATATGTATATTATATTCTCAAAGGCCAAGACTTTACGAAAGTGTTGAGATATCCCACATTGTTATTACATTTTCTTTAAACAAAACACGTAGTCTTTGTAGAGAGTATTATTACATGTTCGAAATGGAAGTTGTGCCCTAATAGCTTAAATGATT